TTTATTTATCGCCAATAAATATACAGTTTTCTTTTACCCTTTAGCCTGCTTTCCCTGGCGATCCACTTAGATGAAACCTTGTAGGTTTGTCAAACTCTCTAGGTTTGACTATATATATATATATATATATATATATATATATATATATATATATATAAGTGAACATTGAATTCAACTCTTAGAAGCAACAGGCTGTTTCATGCTAGACGCAATCGTCAGGCCACCACGATTGCATCTGATATGAAACAGACTATCGCCTCTAAGTGTTGACTTCAATGTTCACTTTTATATTTACACACTATCTCTGATATTGAGCGCTTTATCCCATAATTATAGCAATAAATAAATATTTCTTCATATATATATATATATATATATATATATATATATATATATATATATATAATATTAAAGGAAGCTACATATCGAAGAATACGTGGTTGCATGAGTATACATATTTACTTCATTAACTGATATCCACACACAGACACACACATACAAAAAATTATCCCGTATTACACCAACTTTTAGAATCATCCATAACATTTTTGTGTAATTTTATTTTGTCGGACGCTAATTTAATATATATATTGTTCTTAAGTTAGTCCACATTTTCCATTCTGTATGTCTATATTATGTCCATGCCTGCATGTATATGAAGTTAAATATATATATAAATTTAAATATACATGCGCACATTTAAGCGTTTCACTCCAAGCAAGGCGGGAAGCCACTAGCACGCAAGTGGCTACAGAGAGCAAAGTGGAGTGATAGAGGAAATGATGAAGAGAAGGATAGGGGATAGATCAGGGCATCTGGAAACGTCGATTGACTTTACATTTGAATAGTTGGAGATTTACACTTTTCATATATATATATATATATATATATATATATATATACGTATAAAAGTGGACATTGAAGTCAACACCAAGCGTAGATTGTCTGTTTCATGCCTAAAAGCAATAATCAGGTCATGCTTTGCGTTTAATCATGAAAGAGACTGTTGCTTTTTGGTGTTGACATTAATGATGATTTTTACATTTACATAGCCTCTATTCCTGAGATTGAGCACTTTATTCCGTAAGTATAGCAT